AGAGGCCCGCATAACGCAAGGAAAAAAAAAAAAAAAAAAAATTATAAATAAAATGATTTCCTTTTTCTGGAATAAAAGGCATCATTATGTAATATCAGCATGACATTGGATTTATATTCTGCTTTCTTCTGTGTAGTTAATAGTATACATGATTTCTTTCATCTTTATATGACTGAATAAAAAAGATGAATATATTGAAATTTACATTTTATATGGGATTAAATCTAAACTATAACTTAATAGTGATAGTTTAGGAGTACTTTTGAGTGGTTCACAAACTTGTCTTTTTAATTTTCTATAATTTTATCTCTTTCCACACCGCCATAAATATAATTATACAGTTGTTGGCTAAGTATGAGAGAAATAGGAGGGCAGAGGTGAAGAAGTTTATGTATCTCATGTGGGAATAGCATCTGTCTGTGAAGAACTTTATAATGTCTTCATCATCCTCTTATATGAGAGGGACTAAAGAAGATTATATCAAAAGGAAGATAGAGAAGTGTAAAAACATGCATACTGTTCTTTGAACAGAATAGTATAAAAGCACAAGTTTTGGAAATAGGCATATGGAAGTTGGAAACTCCGTTTTTCCTCCTTCTAACCTAAGCACATTACTTAGCCCATTTCTTTATTTTTCAAATGAGATCAATGAGCACTCCTTTTAGGATGGTTGTGAGGATTAATGAGATATCATTACATAAAGTGTCTAGTGTTTGGTCCTTATGAACATTCAATTAATGGTGATTCTAAATAATTATAATAGAGCTGCAATAATAACAAACGCACACAAATGTCATTCAGCAAGCAGATGAGTGTTGAGAATGTAGTTCAGCAGCATAATAAGGCAGCTGTTGAACTAGAATAATCCACACAGGTGCAATATATAAAGGAAAATAAAGACAAAATTTTGAAAGTATTATATGTAAAAAGTGTTTATTCCCAACTTATGGAAGTCTGTATATGTTAGCTTAACTATAGGGCTCCTGAATCTTAAAATTTTGTTCTCATACCCATAGCCATCATAACACAGAAGTATCTTTGGGTTCACGTGAATTAATTTAGTACAAGTATTTGATAGGATTTTTGTGGAAGCAAAATATTTTCCCTGTAAGATTTATCAAAGTAAGAGAAAGAAATGCTTGGAGTTCGGGCTTCCCTCGTGGTGCAGTGGTTAAGAATCCGCCTGCCAAAGCAGGGGATGTGGGTTCGAGCCCTGGTCTGGGAAGATCCCACATGCCATGGAGCAACTAACCCTGTGTGCCACAACTACTGAGCCTGCGCTCTAGAGCCTGCGAGCCACAACTACTGAGCCCGCATGCCACAACTATTGAAGCCTGGGCGCCTAGAGCCTGTGCTCCACAACAAGAGAAGTCACCACAATGAGAAGCCCGCGCACTGCAACAAAAAGTAGACCCCACTTGCCACAACTAGAGAAAGCCTGCGTGCAGCAACAAAGACCCAATGCAGTCAGAAGTAAATAAATAAATTTATTTAAAAAACTGCTTGGAGAGAAAACTTCACAAATATTAATATCTAAAAGAATTTAAATCATATCAGTAGTATCCACAATGCAGAAATTCTAAGAATAGTAAATGAGCATTTAAAAATATACTACCAAATGTAAAATAGATAGCTAGTGGGAAGCAGCTGCACAGCACAGGGAGATCAGCTCGGTGCTTTGTGACCACCTAGAGGGGTGGGATAGGGAGGGTGGGAGGGAGACGCAAGAGGGAGGAGATATGGGGATATATGTATACGTATAGCTGATTCACTTTGTTATAAAGCAGAAACTAACACACCATTGTAAAGCAATTATACTCCAATAAAGATGTTTAAAAAAAATATATATATATATATATATTAAAGTTAGTATTTATCCACTAAAGAGAAGTATACTTACTTTTCACATCATAGTAAAAGATAAATTTCATTAATTTCCTGTTCCAAGTCTTTGTTAGTATAGCTTGTTGTTTTCTGGAGTTTTCAAATACTAATCAGTGTGCTGGCACTGAAGTAGTGCCAGTACCATCAGATTATAGCTCAAAGACTATTTTGTATTTGTAATATTGTCTTTTATGTAAGAAACTCTTAAAGGCTTTGTGTAAGCTCTTTGTTTAATTTTTCACATTGCTCAAGATGAGGACGTGTTACTTGCTTTTCATACTTTTCTTTGTTTTATTCATATTGATTTTTAGAAAATTTTACAACTTCTTCCAGAAAGAATTCATCAGCGATGGCAGTTTCATAGTATTGGTAAGTAATTTAAATATGTATTTCATATTTGAAATAAATGATAATATATGAAAATACTCTTTAATGGGTTGGTCATTATTTGAAATGAATTCATAGTTTATGCTTTAGTAAAAACAAAATAAAGAATACAGAACTAGGCTTACTGGGAATGTAAGATAAAAACATACATGAAGGATTTCCAGTAAAAGTGGCATATTAAATTTCTTTGATCCACCTGTTCATTTACTCTGAATATGTTAGCAATGATGATGAAACTATAAAGCCAAAAAAATAAAAGCAGACTCAGCATCAGAATAAACATTCTGTAATCAAAAATGGAAGAGAAGATAACAAAGTGCCACATAGAGCGAAAGCCATGGGTTCCAGGTTTGAAAGCAAGCAGTGTATTAATAAAAAAGGAGGGAACTGCGTTTAAGCTTACTGCTTGAAGAGACGAAGTAGAGCTTCCCAGATCATGAAATGAAGCTGAAAGGAAAAAGGGGAAAGAAAAAATAAGCAACCTTGCTGTGTATTACTGTGAAAGACCAAGTAGGCAGGAGGTCATAGACTTTATCTTACCAGGAGCTAAGCCAACATGCTTGCTGTCTTGGAGTCTGTTTCTTTAACAATCACAGCATCACCACAGGACTCTTGAGCTCTCATTGCATGACATTTTTTCCCCCTTGGTTGAAAAAGGAATCTGCAGGTAGGCAATTTCTGGCTGTGGTTCAGTGTCTTAATGATGACAGGGCTGATTGGTAGTGATTCTCATGACCCTTCTCTTGTGGTGAATATACAGATGGCCACCACATCTACATTGTTGAAGTAGAATGTTATAGGCCTTGTATTCATTTGTAAAAATTGTATTTTTTTCTCTTAAAAAAGAGTCATATATTTATTTAGAACCTACAATTCTTAGTTATAGCAAATGAAATTTCTGAGGCTTTGAAACTGTAAGTCATCCCAATTAGCAGTTCTAGAAACAAAAGGAACTCTGGACATATAGGATGGATATTGATGTAGGGGCTAAAAAAACCACAAAATTCTAAATAATAAAGCCTTTTAGAATAAACTTTTTAGATAAAGCTCAAGACTAAAAATGATGTACCCTTAATACATAAAGAACTCTGGCAACTCAATAATAAGACAAATCAATTTTTTAAATAGGGAAAATATTTGCATAGTTATCACACCAAAGAAGATATGTGAATTGCTAATAATCATATGATAAGGTGCTCAACAGAATAGTGAAATCCTATTTTTTATTTCATAATCATTAAAATGTCCTTGAAGGTTGTCTGGGAAGAAACTTTTTTGAGACAGCTGAACTTCTAAAGTTTATTATATCTGCTGAGGAATGTAGTCTTCTATTTCTGAATGACCTTTGTGCTATCTGGTTCTCATGATTAATAATATTCTAGTAAATGTCCAACTTGAGACAATACATAAATGGTCACTTTTCTTTGTCACCCAGAGAATCCTAAAACTCTGTTTCCTTTCTTTTTTGTCTTGTATATATAGAAAAATAAATCAGTGACTCTAGTTGATTTTTTAAAAGTAGCTTTTTTGAGGTATAATTTACTTAGATAAAAATCACTCATTTAAATAAATAATTTATTATTTTTAAGTAAATATTTAGAGTCACCACAGACTATTTTTAGAACATTGCCATTACCCTAAAATAGTTCTTTGAGCCCATTTACAGTCAGTTGCCTTTGCCACCACCAATCTGCTTTCTGGCTTCAATAAATTTGTCTTTTTTGGACATTTCATGTAAATGAAATCATACAATTTGTAGTAGTTTACATCTGGCCTCCTTCACTTAGCATATATTTTTTTTCCATATTATAGCATATATAAGCATTCCTTTGTATTGTCTAATATTCTGTTGTATGGATATACCATATTTTGTTTATTTACTCACCAATTAATGGACATTTGCATTGTTTCTAGTTTATTATAACTTGTTCATTTTATTTGTTTTATTGTAGATTCCTTTTTTCTACGTATAGGATTATGTCAACTGCAAATATAGTTTTACTTTAAAATTTTTAATCTGGTGCCTTTAATTTCTTATTTCTTTTTTGTTTATTGTTCTTCTAGTACATTAGTGAATAAAAGTGGTAAAAGTAGACATCCTTATATTATTCCTGATGTAAAGGAGAAAGCATTCAGTCTTTCACCATTATGTATGATGTTAGCTATTTTTTAAAAAATTTTATTTTCACTTTATGTTTGAGGAAACTGAGGCTCAGGGAAGTTAAGTGATTCCTCAGGATCACACATATGTCCTGGCAGAATCTAGATTCAATGCAGAATCCTGTTTCACATATAAATAAGTATTTATGTTCCATCCTGTGTAATTCTCAAACCCTTTGTTTTCTTCTTCAGTGCTTCCTGAAGATCATTCTTCCCTGGTGATGTTAGCTATTTTTATAGATACTGTTTATCAAGTTGAAGTTCTCTTCTGTCCTGTTTTGATGAGGGTTTTTAATCATGCATGGGCATTGTATTTTGTCAGATGCTTTTTCTTCTATTGACAGGATCATAGGCAGCATTATTAGTGGTTTTGTCATTTATTCTGTTAATATTGTGCATTTTACGAATTGCTTTTCAAATTTTAAACCAACTTTGCATCCCTGAGATAAATCCCAATTGGTTACCATTTCTATATAGTCTTTTTATTATATTGCTAATTTTAGTTTGCTAATAATTTATTAAAGATTTTTGCCTCTATGTTTATGAGGGATATTGAACAATGTAGTGTTCTTTTGTGAGGTCTTTGTCTGGCTTTATTATCAAGATAATAAGAGTCATGTACATAGATTGGGAAGTGTTCCCTCCTTTATTTTCTGAAAGATTTTGTGAACAATCGATACTACATCGTTTTAAAATATTTGACAGAATTCACAAGTAAAGCCATTTAGAGTTGGGCTTTTCTTTGTGTGGAGATTTGTAATTGCTACTTTATATTCCTTTTTTGAGTCAGTTTGGATAATTTGTATCTTTCTAGGAATTTGTCTATTTCATTAACTGCCTAATTTGTTGGTGTAAAGTTGTTCAAGTTACTCTTTTATAATAATCCTTTTCATTCCTATAGGGTCAGTAGTGATGTCCCCTCTTTCATTTCTGAATTTGGTAATTTGTGTCTCTTTTATTTTATTGACTTGTCTAGCTAAGCATTTGTCATTAATGTTGGTCATTTCAAAGAACTAACTTTGGTATTGTTGATTTTCTCTAGTCTTTTTCTGCTTTCTATTTCATTGATTTCCATTCTAATCTTTTATATTTTAAAAAATCTTGCTTGCTTTGGGTTTAATTTGCTTGTCTATATGTATTTTCTTAAGGTGGAAGTCTAGAATATTAATACCTTTCTTCTTTTCTGATATAGGCATCCAAGGCAACAAACTTCCCTGTAAGCTTTGCTTTTAGCTTATCCCATAAGTTTTAGTATGTTGTGTTTTCATTTTTATTCAGTTTAAGCTGTAAGTTTTAGTATGTTGTGTTTTCATTTTTAGTATGTTGTGTTTTCATTTTTATTCAGTTGAAAATATTTTTTTGATGTCCCTTTTGGTCTCTTTGATCCATAACTTATTTAAGAGTGTCTTTGTTTTTTAAATTTTCAAATATTTGATGGTATCACAGATTTCTTTCCGTTGTGATTTCTAACTTAATTCCTTTGTGGCCAGAAAATATGCTTTATATGATCATAATCTTTAAAAATTTTTTGGAACATTTCATGGCCCAGAATATAGTCTCTCCTGGAGAATGTTCCAGTATGCTTGAGAATGTGTATTCCATAGTCATTTTAAATATTAGATTAATTTATGACAATGAAGTGATTATTGAAGAACAAGAAAAAACTCGAAAAAATGGAATCTTATACATTATTCATGGATGATAGGCTTGATGGTATAAAGATAACAGTTCTCATCCAGGATTCCTGTAGTGACTTTTTATTGTAGCCCAACAAGTTTATCCTAAAATTTATATGGAAAATCAAAGCCAAAGCAACTTGGAAGAATAACAAATGGGAGAGAGAAGATGGTATTGTTGAATATTACTATAACCAATAACAAGATGTATTATAAAGTTATAATATTAATAATTAAGACAGTATCATTGGTATGACAGAGATGGACAAGTAGACTAATGGAAAAGGACATTAAGGCCAGCCAAAGACCTAGGCTTATATATGGAAACTTGAAATATGATTGAGACAGCATTTCATTTCATTATAAAATCTGAAAAGGTACTACAGTTGGTTGGGGAGGGGAAATTCTGTTATTGCCACACACAGAAATAAATTTCTGATGGATTTCAGGACTTAAATGTGAAAAACAACACTTTAAAAATTTTTGATGAGACTCTTTGGTTTATCTTCATAACTTTAAAGTAGGGAAGTATTTCTTTAGACACAGTAAGTACACATAAAGAAAAACATTGGTGAATTGACTGTATTGAAACTTAAAACTTTTGTACATCAGACGATACTACCATCCCAGTCAAGAATACATTTCCAATTCATAGACCTGACATAGAATTAGTAGCCAATATGTGTAAGGAACTCTTATATTAAATGAAACAAAACAAAATAACCCAGTTTAAAAATATACAAAGGATATGACAGGCAACTTGCAGAAACTTGAGCAGCCAAATGAAAAAATGTTCAGTGTCATTAGAAAACATCAAATGACATTACTGAGATATGTAACACTCAGACTGGCAAATATTAGAGCATCTGCCAGTGTTTTGTGTTGCCAACAATGTGTTATCACAATTATCTCATACGCTTCTATATATGTAAATATATATATTATATATGTATTTCATACATATATGTTATATATATAATCCTGATGTTACTAGAAAGAATAAAAATGCAAGATTAGAACAAATAGCTGTGGAGGAAATTTTGTTACTGGTATAAGTTTTAAACATGGAAACTAATTCCAAATATTTTATGGATTTATAAATAAGTAGTAATAAAATAAAATTCTTTTGGAAATAATTAATACCAAAATCTGGATAATGGTTTTCTCTGGGGAAGGAAGGAGGAAAATGACTCAGGATGGGTTCACAGATGGCTTCAATGATGCTTGTAGTGTTACATGAAACATTATAGATAATGTAAATAAGTGAAATTTTGAAATTATGGGAAACATGGGACTGTGTTTAGATTTGTTCAGACCAAATAGTAGACATCTGGATGTCTGTGAATATTATTTCATTATATTATTGTAGATTTGAAATATTGTATAATTCAAAAGAAAAAGGACTATTAAAGATCGTTTTGAGTATTTTGAAAAGGAAAATTAGTACAATGGAAATATTTGCTAAGAAAGGCTAGAGTTATAGATGTTCATGTGGTTAACTAAATGGAAATTTTTACAGTGGTTTTTATTTCTATTAGTGATGGAGAAATTATTTAATTATATTCTTAGTCTAAGTAAAAGATACATGTAGATTGTTTTCTTACATGCAATTTTGGGTTTAGGGTTTGTTTTGATAGGATAAATCATGTTTAATTGCGATAAACCATGTGTTAAAAACGGTGACTTTTTATATGCCCTTCTGTCCAAGATTACGGCCAGAGGGATGTTCAGGTCACCAAGAATAATTTGGAGGTTGCCAAGGACTTGTTTTTAAAGTATTTTCAAGTCTGACCGAGAACTCTGACATTTAGAAACAAGTAAGATATGAATGTTTAAGATCATGTTTTCTTTTCAGGATTGATTTTAAAGAAACTGCTACACACAGGAAACTCCTTGAAGGTATAATGTAATTATATTTCTTTTCTATAGCTTTTTAAAAACTGAGTAAAGCATTCAGTCAATTGCTATACTGCCTACATCAACTTTTTCCTAAATAATTTTGAATAATCTTCAGTTCCCGTAATCGAAGTGAATTCACTTGAAAAACAGCAACATAGTCAGTATGCATGAGGCTGACCACGCTATTGAAAAACTTTTGTAGTTTTACCACTGCATGGACTCATTCAGCAGAAATGACCTCTCCATATCCATGGCTTCCACATCCATGCCATCCATGCCAGTTCCATGTAAGGGACTTCAGCGTCTGCTGATTTTGGTGTCCATGGTGGGGGAGGTCCTGGAAGCAACACCCCCCTAGATACCGAGGGACGACTGTACTTTGCTCTGTGGTCCCCAGAAGACAAAAAATATTTAGCCATTCAACAAATTATTCTTCATTTTATCATAGCTATTGTTAGATGTAGAGGGAAGTAGTGCATCTATTCCCTAGCATCTATTAAAAAATGATTTTGTTTCTTTTTTTTTTCCCCTTTTCATTATCTCATTGTGCTGTGGTAAGAAAAGCTACCCAGTCCAAAAGCATCTTGGTATAGGTTGGATAAAAGTCTCATATAGTAGGTGCTTTCGGTGTCAAGGCTTGGGTATAGCAGTACATAAGGGATAAGCTTTCCTACATCTTTGTCCCGTTTCTAACTAAAATGTGAGGGTGGCAGCAGTTGAATAGCTTTGGCAGTGGCTGTTTGCAAAGCTACCAGTGAGGTTAGGTTACTGAAGAACTTTGTGTTTTACTGGGAGATTTGAAGTTTCTTCTATTTTCTCCTCTTCTCTTCCTGGAAGAGCATTCCCTTGATTTAAATATGTATTTTCTGTGTATGGGGCATTGTTCTAGTTGCTTAAAAATACAGTAATAGGCCAGAATTCCTGCTTTGCCCTTTGGAAGCAAATTAAGTAAATGAGATAATTTCAGACTGATAATCTTTTTAAGGTCAAGAGCATTGAGTTAGCAGTGTATCAGGATCCCCATGACCATTCCTCCTTTTACCAAACTCATTATAGCGAGGAATAGTCATTGCCCTCTCTCCTTGCTTCTTAGATTAGAGTGGTGACGATGGGAAGGAGGGAAGTAAATAAGAAGGAAATGATTTTGACTTTTTACAAATGGAAATTATAGCATAAATAGATTACCTGATGGCTTTAAATAGAGACCAAGTTATTTTGTTCAAAATCCATAAATTTAGATTTATAAATAATGAGGGTTCAGTAAATTGTCATGGTTATAATTCTCTCTCTGTCTCCCTCCTTCCTTCCTTTTCTTCCTCTCCTTTGCAGAGTATCATTCGGTAATCATCTTCTAGAGAATTTTGGCCTGAAAGGAAGAAAGTATTTCCATTTTAAATAAAAATACTGTTTTTCATTTTATTTCATTTTAGATTAGGCGGGAAGGTGTTCGTCTTTTCTTATTATGGTTGCAAGCTCTTCAGAATAACTGTAGCAAAGAACAGCTTTGGATGTTTTCATGTTTAATCCCTGGATTTTCAGCACCACAATCTGAATATGGACCTCGAACTTTAGATAATCTCATTAATCCTCCACTCAACCTTCAAGAAAGTAAGATTCATAAGATCTTTTCCATCATTAATTTAAAAATTTCTGTGTAGTTTGTTAATAGATATTTTTAAATGTCTGTACCTTTTAAAACAAAATTATTTAATTTATTTATTTTTGGCTGCATTGGGTCTTTGTTGCTGCGCGTGGGCTTTCTCTAGTTGTGTCGAGCGGGGGCTACTCTTTTTGGGGAGCACGGGCTCTACACACGCAGGCTTCAGTAGTTGTGGCACGCAGACTCAGTAGTTGTGGCTCGCGGGCTCTAGAGTGCAGGCTCAGTAGTTGTGGCTCGCGGGCTCTAGAGTGCAGGCTCAGTAGTTGTGGCGCATGGGCTTAGTTGCTCCATAACATGTTGGATCTTCCAGGACCAGGGCTCAAACCCATGTCCCCTGCATTGGCAGGTGAATTCTTAACCACTGCGCCACCAGGGAAGTCCCTGTACATTTTTAACTGGATAATCCAAGGCCGTGTTTTTAAATGTAGGTTTTATAAAACCAAACTCACAGATACAGAGAAGGGATTGGTCGTTGCCAGAGGGGTCGGGGGTAGGGGTTGAGGGTGGACAAAATGGGTGAAGGGGATCAAGAGGTACAAACTTCTAGTCATAAAGTAAATAAGTCATAGGGATGTAATGTACAGCATGGGGACTGTAGTTGATAATATTTTGCAACTTTGAAAGTTGCTAAGGAAATAAATATTAGAAGTTCTTACCACAAGAAACAATTTTTTTTGTAATTTTGTATGATCACAGATTGGGGTGATCATTTCGCAGTGCATACAAATGTTGAATCATTATGTCATATGCCTGAAACTTGTATAATGTTGTATGTCAGTTATACGTCGGTAAAAAAGTAAATAAATAAAAATTTAAAAAATAACATGTAGGTTTTATCATCCAGGTATAATGAGACCAACAGATCAGGAGATGATTGCCATTAAAAAGATAGTTTGTTACTCATGTTCCCAGGAGGAGCGGGTGTGCCACACTAGGGAGGGTGGCGACACAGGGAAGCACCAGGGTTAGTCGGGTGTGGTGGGGGCTTGAGGGTAGGGGTGGGTATCTTGGGCAAGAGCCCTTCTGTGATTTCTGCAGGCGGGAATGTGTGAAGCAGGGTGAGCAAGTTGAAAACTGGCTAATTTGGATAATTTTAGCAGGCTCTGGGGCATAGGGATTGTCTCTGGTTGTCTGGTACTTAGCCCTGGGGGTCATTAGGTTAGGGAACTAGTAAGTAACCCTGAGTGTGAGAGCCCAGCAGAGGAAGTGGTAGAGATACGGGCTCCCGGTTGTTTGGTTTGCATATGAAAGGCAAACTCTCTGGCCCATAGTTTTCTCTAGGAATTAGCTATCTCTGGGAGGGGCTATCTCACTAGGGCCTGCAAGACTCCTGATATCAAAGTATTAGAAACATGTTTAATACAGGCCATTTTACATTTACATTTATCTTTAATTTTGAATTTTCGTGTATCAGCTTGTATCCTTGAGTTAATTTGGATGTACATTTACGTACAAGTATGTTTTACTTTGTGCAAAGAGGACTAAAAAAAATCCATCTCTGGGCTTAATTACTTGGCTGCTGTTTACTGGGAAATAGGTTTAGGGACCTGCCTATGCTAAACCAGGTACTGATTGTGTTGCCTGGGAAATATTTAAGAAAATTTAGCTAGTTGTGGGTTGATTTTCTTGAATTTGCTTTTGTTATAATCAGTGTTTTTGAATATATGTGAAAAGTTTAAAAATGTGAAAGTTTCTTAGTTTACAAGTGGACTTTCATAATCAAGAAACTAAGATGCTAACTTCTCTCTTTGAGAGGGAATTAGTATTTCATCCTTTTAATAAAGGGGCTACCTTAAAGAGTAAGCATGGTCATTACCTAGAGTAATCAGATTGTTCTTTAACTGATGAATAAGCACATTATTATTAATGTTTCTCATCATATTTATGGAATTTTGTAGTGGACACTCTTAATCTGAATTTTAAAATATCACAAGCAATTCTTTTTCAGGTGAGACATTCACTCTTAATCCCTCAATGTCTGTCCATCCCTGTGTCACATTTCCTCGATCAAGGGTTCATAAAACAGTTGATTATTAAAGTTTATGGTTTTTGTGATGGGCTATCAGGATGACCTCAGATTTATTTCAAATTTCAATCATCAGAATGTTTTCAAGCAGTATTCTTTGCTTATCTGTTTTGTAGTTACATTTTATTTGGGCCATATTATATTGTTAAATTTGTTTTGTAATTATACTAAACTTTTCTTTTGTCTTCGGATAGCTCAAGTCACTATAGAAGAAATCACTCCGCTTGTCCCCCCACAATCAGGAGATAAAGGACAAGAAGATCTAACAAGCTATTTTCTTGAAGCACTTTTAAAATATATAGTAATTCAGGTATGTGTCATCTTCTTTTATATCACCCTCCTTACTATCCTGTGGGTAATTCATTTTTCCCCCTCTTACCATTATTCTGTCACAGTAGATATTTGCTTATTTTCCTGAAGGAGAAGTAACAAATTTTTACTTTTTTTTAGGTAAATAAATTTATTTATTTTTGGCTGTGTTGGGTCTTCGTTGCTGTGCACGGGCTTTCTCTGGTTGCGGCGAGTGGGGGCTACTCTGTTGCGGTGCGTGGGCTTCTTCTTGTAGTGGCTTCTCTTGTTGTGGAGCATGGGCTCTAGGCGTGTGGGCTCAGTAGCTGTGGCACACAGACTTAGTTGCTCTGTGGCATGTGGGATCTTCCCGGACCAGGGCTCAAACCCATGTCCCCTGCATTGGCAGGCAGATTCTTAACCACTGCGCCACCAGGGAAGTCACAGATTTTTACTTTTTAAAATAGATGTTAGTATACCCTTCCTGAAATAAAAATCACTGGAGAGATTATGGACCTCTTAGAAAGGGAGCTGAAGAGAGAAAGTTTTATAGTAGACTCTTCATGTGTATATACCTTCTTATGTGAGCCAGTTGGATTTACTTTCTAATCTTTTCATTTATAATCAGCAGCTATGGTACTTTAAATGAAAAACTGTTAGATTTAGGGATCAGTCTGCCTAGAGGCAGCAACTGGGGAGGTGGACTAAGGGTGAGGTGGGGGATGGGGGAATGTAATACATTTAATCCTACTTGTACTTTTAAAATTTCTAGGTGCGTGTAGTTTGTTTTTTTTTGTTTTAAAGACTTATTTATTTATTTATTATTTATTTATTTATTGGCGGCATTGGGTCTTAGTTGTGGCACAAGGGATCTTCGGTGAGGCATGCGGGATGTTTCGTTGCGGTGCACGGGCTTCTCTCTAGTTGTGGCGTGAGGGTTTTTTTTCTCTCCCTAGTTGTGGTGCACAGGCTCCGGGGCGTGTAGTTTGCAGCTCGCGGGCTCTCTAGTTGAGGCGTGCAAGTCAGGAATTGTGGCATGCAGGATTAGTTGCCCTGCAGCATGTGGGATCTTAGTTCTCTGACCAGGTTTCGAACCCATGTACCCTGCATTGTGAGGCAGATTCTTTACCACTGGACCACCAGGGAAGTCCTTAGGTGCATGTATTTTGTAACGTAACCTATTAATCTCTATATATGAAATGTGAATATCCTTATTGATGAAAACACTTTTAGCATATACACATTTCTTGTAACTCTTCCAAACACAAAAGTTCCTTGTGCCTCAGAAACAAACATGTTGTTAATTTGGATCCTGAACGAGATTGCCAGGGTTTGAATACTGACTCTACATCTTACTGATAATGTGACTTTTGGCAAATTACTTAACCTCTTTGTGCTTAAGGTAGAGATAAAAAATAATACCTATCCCATTTTGGTGTTTGGGGCTTGTAATTAGTGCATAGTACTTAGAATAAACAAGTGCATGACATATAGTAAGTATTCAGTGGTGGGTAGTTATTGTTACTGTGATTATTACCAGTTTTTCTTTAAAAAAAAAAACTTTTGTACTTCATATGGATTTTTAAACTTGTTTTACTGATTTATTGAGATACATTTGACATACAGTAAACTGTAATGTTTGAAAAGTACAATTTGATAAATCTTATTACATGTATACAACCATGAAACCATCACTACAATCAAGATAATGAACATATCTATCACCCCTAAAAGTTCTCAGATCACTTTGTAATCCACCCTTCTCTACCTGCCCCGCCCCCCCATCATCCCATCCCCAGGCAACTTCTGTCTGACTGCTTTCACTATTGTTTGCATTTTCTGATAAATGGAATTGTATGGTACCTCCTTTTTTTTTTTTTTTTTTTTGGGTTTGGCTTCTCTTTTTTTTCAGCATAATTATTTTAAAAATCATATTATTGTATGTATCATAATTTGGTCCCTTTTATTGCTGAGTAGCTTTTCATTTATGATGTGTTATCCAGTCACCTGTTGATGGTAATGTGAGTTGTTTCCAGTTTTTGGCTATTACAAATAAAACTGGTATGAATATTGGTAAACAAGTCTTTGTGTGAATATAAACTTTCTTTTCCCTTGGGTAAATACCTAGTAGTGGAATGGCTGGGTTGTATGGTAGGCATATTTTGACTTTTTAAGACACTGCCAAATAGTTTTCCAAATGGTTGTAGCTTTTTGTATTCTACCAGCAATGTATGAGACTTAAAAGTTGCTTCATATCCTCACCAACAGTTGATATGGTCAGTCTGTAATTTTAGCCATTCTAAAGTTAGTGTGTAGTAGTAGCTCACTGTGGTACACTCTGGGCCTTTACTATCCCCCTACTTACATATCTTCCTCACCCTACTGGAATTTTCACACCCTGTATTTTACAACTGTGTCCCTTCTTGTTTACTCCCCTCTACACTTACGGATACTGTCCTCACCCCTCTCAGGCTCTGAGTCCCCAGTGGGCTACTGCCTCTGTTATACCTCCTTCATGGATGCCTCCTGTGGTCAGGCTCTGATCACCTGCACTTGACTGCCACTATTTCATACCTTCTCTTCCTTCCTCTCACATATGCCTATTTTGTATGACTTTTAGGCTGAATTATTCAGGAAGTGGGAAAGAGGAAAGAACATTAACAGCTTTGTCAGTAGTAAAGCTGAGTTTTAAGTCAGCTTTGACAGTTTTCCAGAGCACATTTTAACTTACAAGATTTTTGAAAGATAACATGTATCCTTGACCTTTGAACAATATAGGTCCACTTATACACAGATTTTTTTTCAATAAATGTGATCTACAGTACTACACAATCCACTGTTGGTTGAATCTGCAGATATGGAGGGCCGACTGTAAAGTTACACGTGGATTTTCAAGTGCATGCGCAGGGTCAGCACCCCAACCCCTGAGTTATTCAAGGGTCAACTGTATAATGCATTTGCTTGGCACTAGACCACTTTTTATATGTACATACACATATATATTTAGCTATATATCTTTGCAGTGTAACAGTTTAATTTATTGCTTAAGTAACCTTTTACAAGGTTGTTTATAACAGCTAATAATTCTTTCTCTTGGAATGATTCTAATTGTTTGTTTAATTTTAGGTAAAAAGTTTAGAATGGAAGAACAAAGAAAACCAAGAAAGAGGATTTTCATTTTTGTTTTCACATTTTAAGAAATATTACTTGCCTTATATTTTTCCAAACATCTGTAAGGAGAATAGTTTATATCATCCTGTACTTGGTAGGTAGTCTTTGGAATTTTCTAAAATATTACACATAAGAATAAAAGATTCCTCAGTGTAAAGTTAGCATTTGTTACCTGCAGAAAACTGATAACATTTAGTTTATATTGATTAATTGGAGATATTATACCGTGATTCATACTGAAAGTGCAGTTTTATTAGTAGAAAGTTTTCATTGAGAGTGAAGAGATTTTTAAAAAACTTAGTCTCTGGATATCACCTACTGGAGAAGTTAGCCTACCAGAAATATTTATGATTATAAATTAAACTTAATTCTAATGTTTGGTATGATCTTTTAACCATGTTATAAATATTTTCAAAGGTCCCTTTGGGTTCAATTTCTATATCTTTTGCAAATTCTGTGTGAATAATTACGTTGTCGTATATTCTGATCATATCTTGTCCAGTATTTAGTGACTGTGCCAAAGTGTCTGTTGGAATCTTGAAGCTATAGCCTCAAGGACAGACCTGGGTTAGATGTAGACCTCTGCCATGTATAGAAGGCATTGACAGCCTGTATGTGGAAGTGTCCTTTTTGCACAAAGATGTTTCTGTTTTAAGCTCTACCAAGATTAGGCAGCTAACAAGCTTAGGCAAAGCCATTAGGGCTAGTAGAAATGATTTAAATTAGAGTAGCAAACCTTCACCATTGGGAACAATATTTGCTTTAAAAATAATTTTGCTGTAAAAATTCTCATACTTTGTATGATGTCAAAATATGTGTTTCAGACTTAGGTTAATTGAAGTAAGGTCTCATTAATTTTAAATGGCTCTGGAAGTTTCTTTGTACTTTTAATGACTTTTTAGTGATATTTTGCAAAAAGACATGTTTCCATATATCAGCTGTATATGGTTCAGTCTTCTAGATCCCATGCTAATATCTAGCAAATTATTTTAAAATGTACAAATTCTGTTTCTTAAACCAGAACATTATCACAGTGTTTTCTCAAATATTTAAAAACATAGATTTATCTAAGCATAATTCCTTTCTTATTTTGGTTTTCGTTTTATTTTGCATAGATATCCCACAGATGAGACCAAAGCCACATTATGTCATGATAAAGAAGGATGCTGAAACCAATGAAACAATCTATTGTACAAAGGAGCCTTTCATTAAGGCTCGTGTTATTGTCATTCGTTGGCTGGTTTCATTCTGGCTGGAGCCAAAGCCACATACAGGACCTCATATTCCTGGGATGGAAGGTGAAGTCTTGCCAAAGAATATTCAGGTAATACACACATAGAGTAAGCTTTTTTTTTTTAATAAATTTATTTATTTTATTTATTTATTTTTGTCTGTGTTGGGTCTTCATTGCTGTGCGCGGGCTTTCTGTAGTTGGGGTGAGCGGGGGCTACTCTTTGTTGCGGTGTGCGGGCTTCTCATTGCAGTGGCTTCTCTTGTTGTGGAGCACAGGCTCCAGACGTGAGGGCTTCAGTAGTTGCAGCACGCAGACTCGGTAGTTGTGGCTTACAGGCTCTAGAGAACAGGCTCAGTAGTTGTGGCGCATGGGTTTAGTTGCTCCGCAGCTCGTGGGATCTTCCTGGACCAGAGATTGAACCCATGTCCCCTGCAGTGGCAGGCGGGTTCTTAACCACTGTGCCACCAGGGAAGCCCTAGAGTAAGTTTCTTAAAGTTAGACATGGCTTTAGGGATTTGTCCGCTGATTTCAGTTGCCTTAGTTGTAGAACACATTTAAAACAAATAATAATGGTATTTTCTTTGTATAAATGTATTTTATAAATCCGAATTTTAACAGTTATTATAGAACCAATAGTTTTCTTAATAAAAAAATAAAACCTGTAAGGTATAGAAGATAATTTCAGTCACATACAAGTCTCAGCTTATTTCTATATTTTGTTAATTGTAGAGTACTAAAAACATCCTGAATTGTACAAATAAAAATATTCTGAATTGTGCAGATTCTTGAAGTTGGAAACAATTTGCAATCAAATGACCTTCATAGTTCATTTTAGATTTCTAGGTATTCAGAGTGCTGTTTTAAAGTCCTGTCTCCATCTCATGTCACCTCTTTTCACGAAGAACACTGACTCTAGAAACGCAATGTAACGTTGCACAACTGTATGATGGAAGGACTAATATTTAAAATTCTATTATTTTTAGTTAAACCATTTCCCTTTTTTTCACACTTCTTTTTCACTTTCCTCTCTCTATGTGTGTTTTTTCCTGAAATTGTCTATATTGCAGTGTTTTTTAAACTATTTTTGTTTTCCTTTTCTCGGATTTCCTCATTTAGTTTTAAAAAATATTTTATATGTGTGTGCTTTTTATACAACTTCTTAAATCCTTTAAAAATTAAGTGGAGGTATAAAGTGTGTTCAGAAAATTTGACTTATATTCCCCCTGGCCTTTTATTTATCTGTAGCAGATTATATGATGTGTTTTCCTCAAAATGTTGTTCTAGGTTCTCTGAATTTTTTT